ATTATTTAATAGTCCTTCTCGGGATGCTATCAAATACATTCCTAGCATGTAAACCCACTATCTTTCGATGTGAATTCCACCACCTTAGAAATTCATTACACTTTATGGTTCTCTTAATTGTTCACACAAGTCATGTTACTATCGTTAGATGTCGCATGCACCTTACGATTTCTCTCACAAGAAGCTATTCCTAAAAATCTCCTTCTGGGGTTTCAATCTAGGTCTCTAAAACAATTCGAATATTGGCCAAATAATTAAAAACATTAAGCATAGAGAAAGAAATAACAACCATGAATAATAAACTCTTAATGAATTAATTCAGTGAAAGCAAAAATAAATTAATTAAATTAAAATAGAATTGGTAATCTCATAGCCCTAGCAAAAGAAAATTAGAACACAAAAATAAAAACAAAATAAATCAAGGGTTCCAACATCTCAATTCACAAAAATACAGAGATAGAGAAATTAGAAGGAAAAACTCATATGTAGGTGTCACAGGCTCCAAGCTTAACTCTTCAATCCTCAATCTTCAATTCTTGATCTTCAAAATATTTTCTCCCTTGCAAAACCTAAAACTAAAAATAAAAATCCTAAAAGAGTGACTCCAAATTCCCCAAAATAATTTCCCCTAATATTTTCTCTCTCAGCTCTTCCAACGGGGCTCTCATTATTTTGTGGGTGCTTTTCTCTGTGAAATAATCGCTTCTAGCGGAAAGGGTTCTTCTCCAAAATAACCATAAAAATGGCATTTTTATAAATTTTTAGAACTCAAATGAACTCAAGGCGGCAAAATTTTTGAAGTAGCGTCGCGGCCCTACTATTTGGGCGTTGCAGCCCTGGCCAGATGAACGCAAAAAATTAGCAAATGCTTCGAAGTAGTGTCATGGGTGGCTTTACTTTTGGGCGCCGCAGCCCTGAACGAAAAACCCATGTAATTACGTACTTTAGAGTCATGGCTCCACTGCAAAAGGCCTAGGCTCTCTTCTCTCGGGTTTTTGTACTGTAAATGGACCATTTCAGAGCCTAGGCGCCGTCTTTTAAGGCCGAGGCTCTCTAATCTCAGTTTAGCTCCAAAGATTACTCTAACACTCATCTACGAACTCCGAATCATGCTAATCTGTAAAATCAACTAAAAGTGCATAAATTAACTACTAAAACCACTCTAAAACTAACAAAACACTCAATTAGAAGTATTAAAAGATAAGCACAACTCCAATGTATCATTAAGCTCCAATCTCACTTTAGTTATTGACTTTTCAAACGTTACACAGTTAGTCCATGAGGTTTTATTCTGTTTTAATTTCGGTCCTTCTATTAGTTTAGTGTTAAATATTTAACGGAATTTGTAAAAATTATAGACTAAAATTGAAAACAAATAAAGTTTAGAGATTAAAATAATACAAAAGGCAAAAGTTAATTTTTACATATAGAACTAAAATTTTAGCTGTTTCTAATTTTATACTCTAATTTACACAAATTCTATCAAATTTTAATGCCTAGTTGATGAAATGACCGAAACTAAAACAAAATAAACCTTTAAGGACTATTTGTGTGACAATTAAAAATCAAATATTAAAGTGAGATTACAGTGAGATTAAATGTAAACCTCATGGATTATTTGTCGAATTAACCTAAACCTAATGATGCCCCTTTAAAATATTACACGTGAGATGCACGTGGAGAAGTCCGTCACAAAATTAACAGCCGTTTTGCCAAATGTACTGAATTGTAACGGTTAAACAAAAATAGGGGTTAATAATTAAAATCACAAGTTTTAAGTAATAATTTACTAAACCACAATTAGTTCAGGGATAATTTCTACAAATACGTGCGACGTGTCCAACCAATCTTAGCATCTAGAGTTTGTTTTGTGCTGTACACACGTGGCACGTACAATACAATAAATAAAACTTGTGGCCCTGATTCAGATATGTGTCGTCATGGAAGTTCACATGCCACGTGCCTATTACACGCTCACTTTGATCAAATGTAGAAAAAAGTTGTCTCTCAGATTATGTGTCAGAATCAGAGAAGTCGTCGTCTTGTGCCACTTTCTAGGATGGCCGTTCATTTTCCATACTAGTTAATACTAGAGAAAATAATTTCGGTCATCATCACCACAAGACTTTCTTTCCTAGGTGGAAATGACTTTTTTTTTTAATTCTGTTTTGTTTTAAGGTTTTTGTCTTTTTTATTCTTATTTTTTTTTCTATAAAATTTTAAATTTTAAAAATTAAAATTATAAATCATGATTTAAAATCTATAAACTAAACGTGACCTTAATATTTTCATATTAAAGAGTTTAAAAGTATAGTTATTTGAAGTATTTAAAACATATATCATCTAATCCATTTATTCGTGTTTTTCCTCTTAACATATTCCAAAGATTTCAGTAATCCTGTTGCAGTTACTACGTTTTTTTTCCTACCAAATATTAATTGTTGAAATTATCTCATAATTACCTTTAGGGACAATTGCAACAATTTTATTCCTTGTTATTTTTTGAAAATAAATTTATCAAATACTAATTGCTGGAATTATCCCATAATTGCTTTTAGGGACAGTTACAACAATTTTATTCCTTGCTATTTCTCGAGCAACAAATCTTATTAAACCAGTCTTACGAATTTGGTAGATGGATAGTAATGGTAATTGAACGAGGTTCAATTAGTGTTAATAAATGTTAAGTTGTTTTTAATGTGTTGAGTTTTTCGTTCAAATCCCAAACACTAGTAATTTAATTTTTTTCTTCATTACTAATAAAATATGAGATTTACGGTGGTTGCATATTTGATATGGCAGTAGTTTTATTTCCAGTGTTAAGTTATGTGAATTCAAATCTTACATCCCCAAAGTTAAAATATATAATAATTTCTATTATTGCAGATAATGAATAGTAATATCTTTTATATTTTAAAAAAAAATTTTGTAGGTTATGAGAAATATATATTAACAATAAAATATAATTATGAACTATCATATTATATTATAGTATAATCACATGAAACATATGAAAAAAAAAATTATTCAACAATACTTGAGAAAAATATGCCTCACTCTAAAATATTTTTTCATATCCTATTTAAAGGTTATCATATATTGTGTATATTGACGTCAACATTTCGCTTTTTATATTCATCAAGAGTCAAAGACAGAAAAAGCGTGTAAAATTTTACATCAAGAAAAACAAAAAAGTGTATACAATTAAACTTTCATAGAAATTTTATGGTGAAGAAACCTTCCCCGTGTGTATCATATCATATGAGACTATTACGTTTCTTTGAATTTATAATTAGGGGTAGTTGCAGTCATAGTCTAATAATAATTTAATGCTTAATTCTACTATAAGATATAAATTTTTATTTCTATTTTGATAAAAAAAAAATTTATAATAAGAATCAATGATACTGTAAATAAGGGTGCGTTTGTTACAAAATTTGACAAATTTCATGACAACGTAAAGATTATGATTCTAATTGTAAACATAACGGTGAAAACGGGTCGACCCAATCTCACATGTTATGGCCTCTTTTATGAGTCGTTCTGCATTGAGTGGAAAAAGGTAGACTGGCTCGAAATTTTAATTAGATTTGGCCAGATTTTTAAGTATAGACCTCTATCGAAATTGAATTGGGGATTCCATGCAGACCAACTTATATATTTATGCAGGCCGGGCGGGTTAGACTAAAAAGTTGGGATTCAGGTCAGACATCCCTACCTATAACACATTAACATATTCTAATTATCAATCTAATTTCTTGTGTATTAAATTGTATCTTGAAAATCATAATTTTTTTTACAAGACGAGATTGAACCCGTAACCATCCACCTAAATTTTACTCACTTATTAAAAATTCTAATGTTACTAGGTCAAAAGGTTTGGTTAGGCACTAAGGTCTTGTTCATTTCACCGATTTGAGTTTTGCTACAGTAAAAAAGTTCTCAGAAACAGTCACATCTAACTTTTTTACTACAGTAAAAAAATATCACATAAAGTCGTATCTCAACTCGTATTAAAAACCCGAATTAAGAAACTTAACTGTCCTAAAATTATATGGTAATATGAGTCCCACGTAACCAACCATTTAGTCTGCGTTTAGAGCAAGGATCTATGCTATAGTTCGGATCATAATTTATAACTCGTTATAATATTTTTTTTCATAAAAAACACACATAAACTAAAAATAATTATAAATTATAATTTTAAATTCAGTAACTAAACATTATCTTTTTGGACTTTCAGAAAGCTCCACGTGCGGCACAGAAGACACCCCACAGTGTAACACCCTTTCTAAGGGGTTGTTCTTTTAGAGTGTAACTTGAGTGTAGTTTTTGAGTTGAATTTGAGTTATAACTTGAGTTGAAATTGTAACTTGAATAAAGTTGAGTAAAGTTGAATAAAATTAAAACTTAAAAGAACGTGAACTTAAATAAAATTGAAACTTAAGTTGTCTTTTTTTGAGTTTTTTGGATAAAAGAACATGCCCTAAGTTTCTGGCCCTTACTGGGGCCACCGTACGCACGTGACCGGACGCCCAACTATTTCGCCACGCGCCAGGTCATCTCACGGCCCCACTTAGGGAGCTCGATGCGCTTTTACCGACGTATCCCTGAGCCCCGTCCGAGTTTGTGGATGAGAATCGAGAACCAGGTAGACGAACGATGACAAAAAAAGAAAAACACAAAAAAAAAAAAGAGAAAATCGAATAAAGAAGAGAAAAGAAGTAATAAAAAACGAAAAAGAAGTATGGAAAAAGCGAAAGGGTACGCTGATAGTGTAATCTGCCGCTAAATTTGCGCCACTTGGCACGATCCGAGAACGCGTTCGTCCCCTGTTCGGTCTGTTGATGGCCTGAGAGCCTCAAATAAAGACGCCCAATTTTATTAATTTTTAGGAAAAATAAATCCACAAGAAATAATAGTGGCTGAGATTGATCGCTATGGAAAGTACTCGTTTTTTCGCTTAATTAGTTTATAGTGCTAGTTCTAGGTTCAGCTCTTCTTCTTCTTCTTCACTTTTGTTTCTCTCTCTCTTTTCTCTTTCTCTGCTTCTTCGTTTTCTCTGATTTCTTCTCTCGTTTTTTCGATTTGAGTAATTCGAATAATTCTATTCTTCCATTGCCGGAATCCATGGCTTCTCCGGCAGATGTTCGGTGAGGCTGGCGTTCATGCGTGATCGAGCTTCGAAAGGTTGTCCTGACGGCTTTCTGATTCTCCATGTCTTTACCGGGAGGTGAGTTTTTTTTATTCTGCATTTTTTAGGGCTTTTGTTTGGTTTGCCGAGATAAAAGGAAATGGTTTTTGGAATTGATAGATGTTTCGAGAAAGTTTTCTGATCAGCTAAGCACAACTGTTCACTGAGCTTGGCAGCTTTTGCTTTCAGCGCAGTTGTATTGTTTTGAATTTTGAGTTTTCTTTAATTTTCTCGGCAACCAAACAGAGGGCTAAATCGTGGGGGAAAAAAACACGGTTATTGATGCATTGTTGAGAAGTGGATATAGAAGTGGCTGGTTGATTACTGATGCAAGTTTCTCTCTCTTATTTGTTGTTTTTTTTTCCCCTTCTTATTTTCCGTTTCTGAAAGGTTTTGGCGTCTTCGGGTTCGTTTTGGTGAGGATTCTGAATAAAGGAATTTTTTTTACTTCTTTCGGAGAAGTGTCTCTCTGCCTCTCTGTTGCGGTGGACTCAGAAATTTTTTAATGAATAGTATTGTTTGTTTACTTATTCTGCTGAATTTCTGATTGGTCTTAATAAATTCACAATCAGCTGATCTTGTAAAAAATTTTGGAATGCTAAATTACTGCTGAAATAAGTTACAGAGACGGATCACTATCGATTGCTGTTACTTGTTTTCTTTTGCAGTAGCAATTCCTTATAACGTCCTGTTGTCTACTACCACCACGGCTTTACCTCTTTTAGCTGTTGACGTTGTCCGCAATCATGGGAAGTTCTCGCTTTATCCATTGCTCGTCAGGGAGGATTTGAAGCAGCGGCAGCTGCCTAGGTCCGACAATGGACACATACTCCTCCGGAGAAGACTTTGTTATTAAGGTAAAAAAATTTGGACTAAATTTTGTTGAGGTGACATAATGGAATATAGCTTCTTCTTTATAAATATTTCCATTTTATTTCTAAATATTGTGTTGAATTGGAAATTGTGTAATGGGTGTGAAAGTTGAACTTATAAATATCTTGTAATGGTAGACAAGAAAGCCATATACCATTACAAAGCAACGAGAGCGATGGACAGAAGAGGAGCATAATAGGTTCCTTGAGGCCTTGAAGCTCTATGGGAGAGCATGGCAGCGAATCGAAGGTTAAAATTTGGAAGTACTTTGAACTTATCTTTTTGGTATTGTTCATTTACTTTGCTTATGATTCTGAAGCTGTAAGTAGTAGTTTTGTATCTTATGGTACACATTGTAGAACTATCCTTTTAAGAAAAAGAAAAATAACAAAATATACATATTTACTATTCCTTTAGACTGCCTTTAGCTTAATTCACCAAGTATTTACCATTATCAATGATGTAAAATGCCTTTTTTGTGTATTTTTTTCTTAATTGGAGATCTACATCTCTTCTTCTCGTCTGTTTCTACATGGCGTGCAGAACATATAGGAACAAAGACTGCTGTGCAAATCAGAAGTCATGCTCAGAAATTCTTTTCAAAGGTCAATTGGTACCTTCTTACCTTATGCTTCCACTAGACATTTTTTTTGCTTTTTATTGCTTGGTTATCGGGCCTGTGAACTGCAATCCCACATCTGTTTGAAATATTGTTTCTTAGTTTGCTCGTGTCATGCTATTTAATAGCAGTCCCAGTAAAAGAGAAAACAAAAAAAATGAACTACTAAAACAGCTTTTGCAATGCTATAATACTAGTAAAGATGTATTACTGTTTTTAAATTTAAAACCAGTGCTTTTTTTTAGCATCAGGAGCACTGCCAAACGACAATTGTACTTTTTTGGGTATATAAAAAAGATAGTTGTACTTTATGTGAGCATGATTCTGCTTGTCTCTCACTCACTTGTCCGTAAGATACTCTTACAACTGTCAAGCGTGTAGGTGGCAGGAGGTACGTTATAGACTTGTATTTAACTTTGCAGAATATGACTAACAAATAACAAGTGCAGGTAATAGATTGCTAGAGAGTGTACTTGGATTTTCTCTTAAAGTTGTGTTACGTTCATGAGTTACGGATCGGGTCACTAGACGATTCGCGGGAAAATCCACTGCGGTTGATGAAGCCCTTTCCTTGATGTGATTTCTGCCACGAGAAGAACCTATGGTGAACAATATATGGAACTCGTCGAAGGGAGCTCCTAATCTTAAGACTCGTTGGGAAGAGAGTCTTAAACCTCTGTAATTAGAACAAAATTCTTCTCTGCTTTATTACTCTCAAAATTGTCCCCTTAAATAGAGGTTACATAGGAAATTACTCTTATAGAAATAGGAAACTAGAAAATAGGAAATTGCTCTTATAGGAAACTAGAATATTTGCTAAAAATAGACTCTCCTAATTAGGATACTACTAAAATAAGATTATTCTTTGTCTTCTTTCCCATTCTTGGCGCTTCTGACTTGGGTACCACGTCTCCCTCATGTCTTGCCCACAAAGGCATCCGTAACAAGTTGTATCATTGAGTCATAGTATCTCAACTAGAGCACAACAAATAGTGATGGAATTCTGTACTAGAATAAAAGTTAACAAGTCTTGTTAAGTGGTAAGAACACATCGAAATATGTAATTCTCCTTTTTTAGGTGATACAAGTTTATCTGTTACGGAGGAAATAAATTGCCACCCAAGTTTGGAGGATACAGTCTTATTTACTATGAAATGGATGGCATAGGTGATGTGTGACTTCGTCAAGGATTTTGTTACAGAAATCCATTAGCAGTATGGAGTTGTGTGCTTCATGATTATTGGGTTTACATCAATTTCAGATTAACTCCATTGTTATACAATTTAAGAGGGATAACTTGAACAAATTGCAAGTTTGGAAGAGCAAATCAGGTTTTACTGAGGTGATGGGTAGGTACCAAATGAAGTTAGACTGTGAAGAAGCTATTAGGATGACAGTACTATATGAGGTTCTGTACAACCTTCTCAAAGTTGTATGAACAAAGTTCTTGTTTTTCTCACCTTGAATTTGTTTGTGTAGTGTTAGTAATAACTAATAGAAGCAATGATTTATGATAAATTGGAGGTTACAGGACATCTCACAGTATCCTTGTCATTCAGTGTCTGGAAGGGCTCAACCTTGTAGTAAAGTATGCCTCCTGGAGTTTGGAACATAAAGTGTGCACAGTGCACTCTTATAAATTGTGTGGCGATGTTAGAAATGAAAATTCAGAGTTTACCCGTCCAATTTGTCCGACTGAAAGATAGATTCTTGAACAGGTTGATATAATATTTGGATAGAACAGATTTTTGAACAAGTTGATATTATAATATATCTGTTCTCTATGGTCCTATTGTCTTCATCAAGTAAGATATAGATCTGTGCTCTACGGTCCTCTTGTCTTCATTAAGTAGGCTTATCTCTATGCAATATTTATGATTATTTGGAGTAGTTTTGACCTAAAAAGTGTTTTGTTGATCCTCTCAGTATCGATTTCTCATCTCTAGCTTAAAAGGGGGGTTGGTTTGGCCAAGCAGTCAGGCTGACAGCTTGGCCAAACCAGCCCCCCTTTTTTTATTTAGGAGTATGAAGATGCAACTAGGGTTTTGGGCAAATTAGATTTAAGAGTACAGAGAAAATTATACAGTTCCATGGTACATCACTTTACAATTATCTGTTGCAATCTTGTAGGCTTCGAAGGTGCTTCCTATGCACGAAGTTATAGAAAGATCGAACAATTATGTTCATAAGCATTGTTTGGTAATCGGTACTGCTTGGAAAAATCGGAGACGCCTTTTGGAGTAGCTCATTCTCTCTAGATAAATCTTATTGGAAAAGTAAAGCTTCATGAGCATAGGAATAAAAGAGGATTTATACTTTCTCAGTAGAATATACCCTTGCATCGAAGTATAGAACAAGATTGTGGGGGACAGAAATTTGTAAGGCACATTCTTTAGTTTGGCTGGCCAACTGACAATTGCTTTGGTTTAGAATGCTTGATAATCTAGAAACATACTTGCTGGTGAACCAATATGAAGTAGAATTTATATATGGTATGCAATAGAAAAGAAATCAATTCTTAATGAATAGATGATCTGGGACAAAAGTAGAGATGATTGTTCAACTTGAAGTTTTAGTCACTGAAGATGTTAGCTTGGTGACGTATCTGGATTTTTGATAAAGACTGCCTACATCATTAGGACGTGTAAGTGCTACTGCTTGTTGTGTGGGGTTGATGGAATTATGAATCCCCAACGTTGTCTTAAGGAAGACAATTTCCAACGCTTCATTTAATTGGTGCAACGTTAAGAGTCTTTTCTTGTGGGACTGGAGAGTGCAAACAAACTTTCCCAAGGCTTTTTAGTGAAGTGCATTCATAGTGGATTCACAATTCATTTGGTAGAAAAGTAGATCTTATAATTTATTTTCTGTTTTCATAAAATTTTTCAGTGAAACGCTCATTTGTTTGTGAAACTAGATCATTTACAAAGTTGAAGGTTTTATTGCAAAGATGATTAGGCTCATTGATTCACAGTGCACTTGGTAGAAAAGTAGATGTTATAATTTATTTCCTGCTTTCATAAGATTTTTCGGTGAAATCATTTACGAAGTTGAAGGTTTTATTGCAAAGATGATTAATCTCATTTTTTTTCGTATAATTTTACGTTCTACAAATATCAATTGGCTAATTTATGTTTCTGAACCGTGTGCTGTCATAACTTTTTAGCTGTGTCAGAAAATACAGTTCATGGGGGGATGATTATTTATAAAATAGTCCTTGAATCTGCTGTGAGCTGTGAGCTGTGTCATATATATATTTCATGTGAATCTGTTATGACAGTTCATGTGGAAATGCTGATATATATTTCGATTGCAGTTGGAGAAGGAGGCTCTCGTTAAAGGTGTTCCAGTAGGGCAAGCAATTGACATAGATATTCCACCTCCACGCCCTAAAAGGAAACCAAGCAATCCTTATCCTCGAAAGACCAGTGCAGGTACTTCCACATCACAAGTGGGAGCAAAGGATGGAAAATATTTGTCATCAGAGTTTTCTCATCACTGTAAACAAGTACTGGACTTGGAAAAGGAACCACTTCCTGAGGTTATTACTCTTTCATTTGAATTAATTGACAAATCCTAGTTTTGAATCTTGTTTCTTGTTTGCCTTTGAAGAGTTAAACATCCTTGTATGTGATATGAAATTCTGAAACCATGTTCATATAGTCTCAGTTTTTGTTTCGTCTAATAATTATTTTGCGACTTATTTTTCTCTTCTTATCAGAAATCTGGTGGAGAAGGAAAACGAACTAATACAAAAGAAAATCAAGATGACAATTGCTCAGAAGTTCTTACCCAGCTTCAAGAACATTGTTCTTCTGCTTTCAAAAGATCCACTCCCAAGCCACCTGTGGGACTCAGAAATGCATGCACTTTCAGGGAGTTAGTGCCTTCAATGAAAAAGGCAAATCAGGATGACCCAAGTGGATCTTATGTCACTGTCGAACTTGACGGAAATCAAAATGTTGAGAAAGCTGATGTCACAGAGATGACAGTAGAAGATAACGACGCAAGTAGGAACTTAAAGTTGGAAAATGCTAATTCTTCAGACGAGAAGATGGATGACTTAAGTTGTGGAGCGCCGACTGAGGAGATGCAAACTACCCAGAAGTACCCAAGGCATGTGCCTGTGCATGTTCTTGATGGGAGCCTAGGAACTTGTACTCAAATGCCATCCTCAGATATGCCATTCAAAGAACCGATATTTCATCCAGTGGGAGAGGTTCGTGGCCACCATAACCTCTTTGCAAATTCAGCTGCATCTGCTACGACTGAACATCAAAGTAATGCATCAAGAACGTCTGCTCATCAATCATTTCGGGCTTTTCATCCTCCCTTTACCCCAATTCGCCATAATCAAGATGACTACCAGTCGTTTCTTCACATGTCTTCCACATTTTCAAGCCTCATTGTATCTACGCTGCTTCAAAACCCAGCCGCACATGCTGCAGCAAGCTTTGCATCTACATTTTGGCCCCATTCCAATGTGGAAGCCTCAGCGGATTCTCCTGCATTCAACCAAGGTTGCTCCACTCCTAGTATGGCAGCAATAGCTGCTGCTACTGTAGCAGCTGCAACTGCATGGTGGGCATCCCATGGACTGCTTCCTTTATGTGCTCCGCTTAACACTGCATTTACCTGCACTCCATCCATAAGTGGAGTTCCGTCAATCCATACTGATCAAGTTCCAGCAGCCAATGCAGAGCGGGGAGAGAATTCTCTCAATCCTCCCTTGCAGGACCAGGCGGACCCAGAATATTCAGACGCTTTGCAAGCTCAACATTCAGCTTTGAAATCTCCTGCTGCGTCGTCTTCAGACTCCGAGGAAAGTGGCAGTGCAAAGCATAAATCCAATTCAAAAGCTGCTGATCATGAAAATGCTGCTGCAACAACTGAGCTACATGATTCAAATAAGGCAAAGGGCAGAAAACAGGTCGACCGTTCGTCATGCGGTTCCAATACAGCTTCTAGCAGTGAAGTAGAGACAGATGCCTTAGAGAAGCATGAGAATGAGAAAGAAGAATCAAAAGAACCGGATGCTGACAATCCAATTGCCGAGATGATTAATCGCCGCAGTAAAAGCAACAGCAACACGAGTGATTCTTGGAAGGAGGTTTCTGAAGAGGTATGAAGGCATTTACTTTATTGGTGCCTTTTTACTAATTTGATTCTAAATTTTATAGCCTACACCATTGTGTTACTTTGTCAGGGGCGGCTGGCATTTCAAGCACTATTCTCGAGAGAGGTGTTGCCCCAAAGCTTTTCACCTCCATACGATGACGAGAATAATCAAGAGAATCAGAATGATCACGCGAAAGAAAAACAAATGGAAGAAGATAAAGATGGAGGTGCATCATTATTAGATCTCAACATTAGGACTTCTAACCTTCAAGAATCAGAGAAGAAGGAATCACCAAGAGGTGACAACAATCTAGATGAGGGCCTGCTGACAATAGGGCTTGGATATGGAAAGCTCAAGGCTCGTCGAACAGGATTCAAACCTTACAAAAGGTGCTCGGTTGAGGCCAAAGAAAACCTGGTGGGAAGCACCGCCAGCCAAGGTGAAGAGAAAGGAACCAAGAGGTTACGCTTGGAAGGGGAGGTTCAACTGAATGTTTGATTTTGCATGGCAATCAAAGGAAACCTTTGTTGTTGCATGCAATTTCTAATTTTTCCCCCTTGTCTATTATTAATTATTCTTGCTATATGTTTTATAAACTCCTGAAGCTCACGGAACTTTCCGTGTAGGTGTGTGTACCATATTATTTTATCTACATTGCTCATTGCTATCTGAACCAGTGCAACTGTTCGTAAAAGACTCCCTTCACAGACTTTTAGACAAGAAAGTATTTGATGTGCTTTGATCTCGCTACTTTGCTTAAAAAAGTCATGTCTTTTTGTTTTTCATTATTATTAGTAATGAAAGTCCTTGACTGCTGTTGGAGGCAAGGCCTTTTTTTTTTTTTTTGTTGCCTGGCAAAAAATTGAGGAATTTTACTTGTAGTTCAATCGTATCGAAAATAGATGATTTGATGACAGATTTTACTTGCATTTCTATGAGAAGATTGATGATTTGTTGACATATTTTACCTTCATATACGTTTTATTTGCTTAGTACGATTTTCTTTTCTTGTCTCCCCGTTGATCATCAATGACATGATCGCTACATGTTTCTAAGTGGAACCAAGTTGAAGTCTTGAACTTTTTCAAAGCTGTTTGTTCTTTGACCTTAGTATAGGTTTGGGCAAGAGGAAAATGACTAGAATCACTTATACATAACAGAATTTTTTTTTTTTTTTCCTTTCAGATTTAATGGAGGAACTAGGAAGGATGAGATTTATTTGAAATAAATAAATTTGAGTAATAACATTTTTGTCAGCATTTAAAACGAACAAGGCTTCCCATTAAATTATCCCCAAACCTTTGTATTGTTGGAGGGAAAAAGAATATAGATACATACATACATACGTTAGCTATAGCAATTCTCCCAACCAAATTGTGTGCATCACCAAATATTATGCTAAAATATGTAAGTTGGCCATATCAGCCACTAGCCAGCTGTACAAGTAAAAGATTCTATTCATATTTACAATTTTGTTCAAACAAAGAATTGAAAGTTCATTTACATAAACGCAAGAATAGTTACTCATTCCATATTGCCAACAATGTTGCATATGTTTACCTATATATTAGACATCTGTTAAAGTCATCAATCAACAAAAGTGTATCCATGTTACAGACTAAAAAAACTGCCTGCTGCATCCAACACCAGTTTACGGGCACGATGCGGGTAATCTGCCATAACAAAAAGACGGAGCTCCAAGAATAGCTGTACAAAACCAGTTGTGTATTTACTTTGAAGGAGTGTTAAGGAATTGCTTCAGTGATGGCTGTGACTTTAAGAAGTTAGTCTGACGTGAATGCAATTCCATGATGTAGTGCTGGATTCTCTTCTTGTTTGCTGGAGTCAACAAAAATGGAGGGTTTAGAGAGAGCGTTGTCGCTTCTCCAGCAATAAACAAAAGCAGACGCAGTGCTTTTGAATATGATTCTGCTACAGCAGTACTGTTGTTCTCCACAAACTCGACCACCTGAAACACACGCAAAAATTATTCCATCGCCGACAAAAAAGAAAGAGCGTTAAGAAGGGCATAGCAGAAGCAGACTTACAGCACCGCTGGTCCCATAAGCTAGAGCTTTTCGAAATATTATTTCCATTGCATCTGGCATCTCAGCAGTACCTAAAATAAACATTTGCGCAAATTCAAACCCAAGCCCTGAAAGTAAAGATCAGAAGAGAATGGCATGAGGAATTTAAAAGAGCGGCTACCGTCCATGTTATGGATATGATGGGATAACTTCTCAGCGCGATTAAAAGCAACAAGAAATGATTTTTCAGTCCACGAGTAAACACATGAAGGCCTATTGAAATCGATGTTTCCTTCAGTGTCCTGTGATAAACCTGCACCCGTCTGAGCATGTTTGGGGTCATTTTCTGAACTGCTTCCAGGTTCTTCGTTCTCAATGGTGGAAGCCAGCCAAGAGCCGCAAATTTCAAGAGCTTTTTTCCATATAGCCAAAATAACGAGTTCAACTGAAAAGGACTCCAGGTAGAGTCCCGCATTATACTGCAAGTAACAAAACAACAACTTTTGAGTAATGAGCGCAAAAGGGATTAAAACATTCCACAACATACTCGCATAGTTTAGTCAATTTGCAACTTTCAAAAAGAAAATGCAGGAAAAACTAGGGGAAAATTATCTTGTTCCTCCGATAAATGAAAGATTACAGAAAAGAAAAACATTCAGTTGAAATACACGACACACCTTTTCTAGCAATAGTTCTGCGAGAACCTGAACGTACTGATGCAACAAGTGGATCCTAGTAGAAGGATAAATTTTATTTTTGCCCCCTGAACTTTGGTCTCTATCACTTTGCCCCCTGAATTTTGAAAATTAGTATGTGCACCCCCCCAAACTTTGAAATGTTATCAACTTTGCCCCTTTAACGGATTTAAATAGGCAATTATTGGAAGGGCAATTTAATAGATTATTTTCATAAATGCCCCCCGAACTATGTACCTTATTTAAAAATGCCCCCTGATCTATAGAAAACGTAATAAAATAATAGTATTGACGTGGCATGCCACTGAAAATTAATTAAACATATCAATTTCTAATTAAATATTAAAAATAATAAAAAATAAATATAAAACACGAATTTAAAAAATTTCAAAATCAAATAAATCAACCATTTTTTTTTTCAAAAATCAAAACAAGAAAAGAGGAAAATATTTTCACAACTCAGGTTCTACTATACAGTGTTTTCTCTCATAAAAATTTAAATTCAACTTTTTTACTACAATTTTTCTCTCAAAAACACTACTCAAATTTAAAACTTGAGTTGTGAAACAAACATAGCAGAAGTAGATTTTTCCAAAAAAAAAAAAAATACCTCTTTTCTTTATGGTTTTTTTTTTGAAAAAAATAAATGATTTGTTTAATTTTTTATTTTTTAAAAGTAAAGTGTTTTATATTTATTTTTTTATTATTTTTTAATATTTAATCACTTTTATTGATATAATTAGAATTTAAAATGTCTACGGGCATTTTGAAATGTTTTCATGAATCAAGGGGCATTTTTAAATAAAGTAGATACTTCGGGGGCACCTATGAAAATAATCCATTAAACTATCCCGTCAATAATTGCCACGTCATCAAATCATTAATAAAACTAACATAAGGGGCAAAGTTAATAACGTTTCAAAGTTCCGGGGTGTGCAGACCAATTTTCAAAGTTCGGGGGGCAAAGTGACAAAGAGACCAAAGTTCAGGCAAAAGTAAAATTTATCCAAAATTCTCTTGTTCCTCAGAAAATTGAAAGCTTACAGAAAAGAAATACATTCAGTTGAAATACACGACACACCTTTTCTAGCGATAGTTCTGCGAGAACCTGAACGTACTGATGCAACAAGTGGATCCTACTAGAAGGATGCAATATAGATAATCCTTGTACTTCCCTTAAAATAGTTGAAGCACTTGATGTTGGCAACAGATTCGCCTCATGCTTCTGTGAGCTCTCTATACTGCCAACAGAATTGGAAGCAACCTCCTTCGCTTGCATAACTGGTCTACCTTGCTCATTCTGCTCTGGTGTATAAGAAGAAGCTCCAATTTTGCAATCAAATTGCATCGATATTTCAGGGAAACAAGAGAGAGATTCCAACGAAGCAAAATGAGCATCGACAAGGACATAATCTTTCTCGATGGACACCATGGAATCAGAAACTGGATTATACAACCACAAAAACAAAGGAATTCAAACAAAGCACAAACTTTACGAGAAACATTCCAAACAGAAAAGGATGATAAAAACAACCTTGATGCTGATTTGATGAATTGGGCTCTTGATCAGTAGATTTACTTGGCCTGTCACTTGTAATATTTGGCATAAGCCCTTGAGCACTCTTAGTGCTCGATGTACCTTCACCATCTTTTCCGTGCAATACTATGTTTTCATGTCCAGTTGGAAATTTTGAACTTGGACTCCCACTACAAAAGTTTGAAGGAAGTGCGGAAGGCAACTCCGACCTCTTATCAGAGGCAGAAGAATTGGACCGCTCAACAATTGGATCCATTGGAACAAGTAAAGAAGACTGCTTAATCTCAGGCATTGGCCTGCAGGGACAGAAGAGAAGCTATTCTAACTTGATAGTTGACATTGGAAGCTAACTAAAAAATAGAGCTGACAATAATCACCCAATAAAACCTACACTTAAATACACAATTAAAGCAAAACAGAAGTTTCGAAGTTAGGATCTTACCTTGGATCTGTAAGGAACTTGTGACTAAAAAACTCCTTGAATTTTAGCCGCTCAACTGCAAAATGAAGTTTTAATTTACGTGATTCCTTTTTCCAACCCTCAATCATACAAAGTAAAAGCTGAGATTCGTATGGCACTAGTAGTTAAATACTTGAACAAGAATGAGCTCGTAATTAAGGACCCATGAAACCAGATATGCTCTCTCAATAGAACAAGTACCTGGATTTTGACGTAAAAGGCGTCTGCATAGATCTACACAATCCGGATGCAATTCTTCCAGAGCACCAGCAGGAAACTGCAGCTCTGTGGATGTTATGATATTCTGGAAAAGCTGTAAATGACAACGAATCAGAAAGGCACAAACTAGTACATAAATCCAATATTCTGGAAAACCTTTCTTATCCCTAACCCTATGCAGCATTGTTGGTTTGACAATATGCATGGCAATAGTCGATGTTTTACCTAAATTCCTAGGCAATGAAATATATAAATTTTACTACAAACCTGAAATTGGCTATTGCCATCAAAAGGGGGCCTCCCAGTCACCAACTGAAATAGAATTGCCCCAACACTCCATAAGTCAGCCTGAAAAAACAGTGGAAAAGGACAGTGAAATAGCTGAAGAAAATGAATGAATGGAAACAACATGAGGTCACTCTTACGTTGCATTACCTTTGCATCATATTTTTTGTTCTGGATAATCTCTGGAGCCATGTACAGTGGTGAACCGCAGAGTGTGTCAGCCAAACCTTCTTGAGGAGTCAAGGATCTGAACATACGTACATAAATGAAAAAAGCAATGTAAATGTCAATCTATATTTTCAAGTTTAAACAAGATAACCTATAGGTAAACGTGTAGATGACAACCTCATGCCAACTGCCAAATAAAGTTGTGGGAGACTTTTTAGAAAATTGGATTTTTCTGAAGAATATATAAGAAATTTGATAGCTGTACGAAAAGTTGGATGGCTTATCATAAAAACATCACCTTGCAAAACCAAAATCCCCAATCTTCAATAAGGGAATGGATTCATAACTTGACAAGAGTAAGTTCTGCAAGTTTGAGTCAACAACAACAAGGAAATCATTAAAAATGCATTGGAAGTCACAAATTTCAAATCAGGATACACAGTCGACCATAATCAGAAGTCAAATACCCAACTTCATCTCGAATTTCAAACATGCAATGAAAAAGAGCACGAAAATCCCAGAGCTGTAAACGGAACAAGGGACTCGCATACCATTTGAATTGTTTTTACAAGAATATGGATTTGATCATGAATTGAAACCTTAACTGTGGATAGGTCATGACATATTAAAAGTGGAATCTCGCTAAACTATTGTTTATCTTTTGATAAGGTCACATGATGACAATAACTATTTGAGTTTGGCGTTTCAGAAAGGGAAAAAAAACACCTGTGGTTTTAAATCTCTATGAATGAGGTGCTTTTCTTGAAGCACTTGCAATCCTGAAGCTGAAAAGGGCAATCCAAATTGGCGCAAAAAAAAAAAAAAAAAAAAAAAACATTATTATTTGGCCGCTAGATTCACCGCACCAAAATAAGGAAAAGACTAAACAAGTTCATCTACAAAGAGACCAAGATCCAACACAATAGAATATACCACCAAACTAACTAATCATTAATTGCGTCAAAAATAGCCAAATTTTATTCCTTGTCAAACAAAGCTTTCAACTTTAACATCAAAGTTGAAGAGCCGAAATTTCAAAGAACCATTATGTTGGTGTCTTTTTTTTTATTTTATTTTACCAAACATAGTAATACAGACAAAACCCAACATCCATAACTAAATAATCGTTTACCCAATTGCCTCATGAAATGCCTAGCAACAGCTTCAGAAACCTTCCCATGGCGATGGATATAAGCCGCAAGATCACCACCTTCACAGTACTCCAAAACAAGGTAAATCCAATCCTCAGTCTGCAAAAAAACCCAAATCATCAAACATCAAAATCTCCGGAAAAAAAACATATGGGTATATCAGATATGGCCTTTTTTTTTCCTTTTTGTTTACTTCGATGGCCTCCAAAAGGCGAATGATGTTCGGATGATTGATGGTGCTGAGAATCGAAATCTCCTTGAGCAAGCTCTCGCTGATTTTGGGGTTGAGCTGCTTCTTATCAATCTCCTTGACGGCGACTTCGCGTCCCGATTGCCGGTGTCTCGACCGCCACACGACGGCGAAGGAGCCCGACCCGATTCTCGGCCCGAGAATGTAGTCTCCGACGAGGCGGGGCTGGGTGGGCCCACCGAGATCCATTTGTTGACCGAAAGAGAGACGGGAAATACTGCGCGCGCGGGGGTGGGTTTTGTTTTTGGATGGTGTCTAGTGGGTTTTGACGGCGGACGGCGACGGCGAGTCGGGCTCCGGCGGCGGCAACGGCGGTGCGGTTTGGGTGGAGTTGGTGGAGTTGGTGGTTGTTAATGGAGGAAGAAGAATCATTGTGAGTTTGAAAGTTGGAAAGGAAAGGAGATTAGGAGAGAGAGAGAGTGAAAATGTCTCTCTTTTCTTCTCTTCTGTTTCTTTGCTTTTTGTGTGGAAACGACGCTGATTCTGATTGTTTTGTTTGTGGAAAATATTTTTTTTGCACACGCAGAGAGAGAAATTCTTTCGCTTTTTTTTTTTGGTTTTGAATATTGAGTGGAATTTGAAGAGAGAGAAAGGAGGAGGGAGCGCGAGAGAGAGGACGACGACGCTGAGTCAGTGGAGGAGGGCTTATCGTATAAGGCTTTTTACTTTTTTTGTTCCGAGTACAAGGCTTTTTACTTTAGTATGACCAACAGCAAGTTTTTTTTCATTTAAAAAAAATAGCAAGTTTTTTTTTTTTGAGAAAAAAAAAAGCAAGTTGTTGTTACTAAAATCCCAAGAATTTCGCTAATCTACTCTCAAAATTGTTTGAACAACAAAAAATATATATATAAGGGTCTTAATTTTTTAATATCAAGATTCGCAATATTGAGTTATTATTGTATTATTATTAATCGACATTTAAAAAAAATTACTAAATGTTTATTAAGGCCTCATTATTTTATCATAAAATTTAAATTTTGAAAAAAATTACTAAATGTTTATTAAGGCCTCATTATTTTATCATAAAATTTGAATTTTAATATAATAAAAAATTCTCAGAAACAGTCACATTTAATTTTTTTATTACAATAAAAAATTTTCACATAAAGTCACAATTCAACTCAAATTAAAAACTCAAATCAACTAAATAAACGATACGTAAAACATTTTTCATTTGTTCTTATCGTTAAAAAAATGATGATTTACGATATAACAACCAGGGGTGAGAAAATTACTTTGAAACGTGTAATGATTTATGTACTTTTTTATTGAAAAAATGTTTATCCAAGCAAAACATATAATTCCACGATCTACTTTAAAGTTTAAATCTTAGAAAGAGCCAAATATAGATATGTATAAAGTTTCTTTGTTTTTTTTTTCTCCTCTCTCTTAATCTTAAAGTACGGTTGGTCAGTGGATTCATGTCATGATTCGAATTATAGTTCATGATTCGCTACAGTATTTTCTTTTATAAAAAATATACGTAAATTAAGAATGATAATCATGATTCTGAATCTATGAACCACACGTTGTGTCCTCAAAAAATGAAATTTAAATTGGATTTTAAATTTAAAATGAAAAGGGAAAGGGACTCTCTTTCTTATATTTATGATTTATGCTGCCGTTTGTAGGCCTTCTTCATTCGTTTTATCAATCATTGTCGTTTTGATGTCCTTAATATTTTCTTTTTCGTTGTCAAATATTGCTCTCTATTCATGATAAAAAAGAAAATAGATATTTCTATTTCTTTTTTAAAAAAAAAGTATTGCTTTTTCAGGTATTCATAATTGTCTGAAAACCTAGAAACTAATGGCTCATGCCGCTCCACCGTGGGTCCGCCATTGTTTCTAAGAAAATAACCAAAGCTGAAGATCAACCGATTAGGGAGTTTTAGTAGAAAGAGAGAGAAGCAGAAAAAAAAAATGTTGAATAAATAGGATCGGATGCGAGTGTCGCATTGGAATTTTAAGCCTCTTTGTGAAGAGAGAAAAAATGGCCTCATTAGACGTCCAAAGTGTTGGTTTTGAAGTAATTGACGCTTTTTCAAGTCATTGTCGTTTTTATGTATACTCGTTTTCTAGAGATGTTGTTTCCTGAATTTATTGTCGTTTCTAAAGCTATTGTGTTAGTGTCCTAATAGTTGTGTCGTTTCTCCAAGTCATAAACGGTTTTCGGTATTGTCGTTTTTAATATTGGTTGTCGCTTTCCTAGTTTTTTTTTTTTTTTTCCCCGCTGAATATGTTGTCTCGTTTTTAATATTTTATGTATCGTTCCCTCTTACTGCTAATTCGGACTTTATTTGTATTTATTTGGTATTAGGAACTTTCTTTATTATATATAGTTTTGAGTAATTTACACGCGATTATAATCTCTATTTATATGGAGCCCCATTTCATTGCTCCTTACTAGTGAATTCTCCTTTTCATCATAGTTTATAAATGTAGGCAAATTATCAGATCACGTTAAATCTTTTTATCTTTTATTTTCCTTTTTAGTTTATTATTAATTATAACTATAGTATCAGAGCCAAGTTAAATTTCTTTTCCTTCTCTTATTACTTTTATTTTCTTATTTAATTATTATTATTATTATTATGGTATAAGAGCATCATACTCTAACGAGTCTGTAATCTTTCATGACTGATGCTTCTTATCTCAGGCTAAGAGCCTCCAAATCTAGGCTGCGTGCCTCCTTCTCCCTAGGGTTGAGAGCCTCCAAAACCTAGGCAATGCGCCTCCAGCAGCAGCGCCCCTGCGCCCTCTTCTATCTCTTAATAGTTGTCGTCTTTGCCCTAAGTGCTTTCTTCTTTTCTCCACTTAAAGTTTGTTGTCTCTATATATGTAACTATTTCTATGTCTTTATTTTCTCATAAAAGCAAAAACAAAACAAAAATTCCTTCCAAGATCGGATCTCCTTTTGGAGCTCAATCTTAAAGGGGCATATCAAGGAGAGTTAAACCTCTTATTGCTTATATTCATTTAGTATTAAGAAATTTCTTTATTATAGTCTTAGATAACTAACCCGATTATGCCGTTGTAATCTCTACTTATATGGAGTACTTTTGTGTTCACCGTCCTTTTTGCTTATTTTTAAAGCCACTGCCGTTTGATTATTCGTTGTCATTGCTAGACAACTTCTTGTCGTTTCAAGCCATACTCGCTTGTTTGCCATTGTTGTTTTTACAATAATCGTCGTATAAATTACAATGTCGTTTATCTAAGTCACTGTCATTTTTATTTGTCCTAGGTTTTACAATTATTACGATTCTGGTCTCTGAGAGGCTCGTGGTGTATTTAGATGAAAATTACATCAAAGGCTTGTTGCTGTTTGGAGGAAAATTACATCATAACATGTGTTTTATTCAATTATTAATGGATTCATATTTTCTTACTTTATATAATATTAAATAGGTATATTTCCCACACAAAAAAAAAAAAAAAACCGATCTGCATATCTTAAGGATGATTTTTTAAGATTTTTTTTTATTTCCCTGTAGATAGACATGTTAAAGGATACAAAAGGTATTTTAGAAGAAAAAAGAAAAAGAAAACATCAATTTCTAAAGAAAAGGACACAAAGGTCATCTTCTTTTTTTTTTTACTTTTAAAATTCTAAAGAGATTAATTTAAAATTTTTAAAGGATATAAAAGCCAATTTAAGTTAGAAAAAGGGAGCACAAGATCATCTAAAACGAGCTACCGATTTAATGTTATATACACAACGAGATATCAATCTAATAATCTGATAAAACACAAAATTTTACTTATATAGATCATTTTCATTTATTAGTCCATTGGCTAGTTTGATTTATAAGTTTGAACATAAACTTTGAATTGAATTCAAATTTTTATGAGATGTAGTGAAAAAAAAATGGTTTGAATGAAATTTTCTTTTGGTTCAAACATATGAAACATAGAGATGGCAATATTTCCTGGGTCCTGTGGGGATTTGCTATCAAATAAAGTGGGGATTCACACCAAATAAAGTGGAGATAAAGGATAATAATTAGGGATAGAGACGGGAATATGGACAAAATCTTGTCCCCAAATCTTAACGGGGCTGGGACGGAGGAAACACTCCTCACCCCGTCCCCGTTCCCGCCCCAATATACATATATTATATATAATATAATATATTTAGATATATATATATATAAACTCTACTTTTTAAAAATGTGTTAATTATTACTTTTAATAAGATCTTTCTTAGCTCTACAGTTATTTATTTATTTATTTTGCATTTGTTTTGAATTTAGTTTATTTTGAAGAACCTTTGATTTCAGTTTAAACTTATATTGAATTTTAACTCTATTTTTGCTTTAAGTATAATAATTTTGAAATGTTTAATTACATTTGATGAAGAATGGAGAAGGTATGAAAAATGCCCCCAACATGTATGGGTATGGAGACAGGGATGGAGATGCTTTTAGAGGGTGGAGATGGGGCTTTTAGAGGGTGGAGATGGGGATGGTTAATCATTCTCCGCTCCCGCCTCGTTGCCATCCCTAATGAAACAAAAATGAGTGAACTACTTTTAGAATAACTTTTATAAGTTCTCAACCTGCAAAACAAACCGGCACTTTTTACAACAATTCTAAGGACAATTTTTAAGAATACTTCTTAAAATGAAGCTCTTTTTTATTTATACTGCTTAATATTAACTTATATATTTTTATCTTTTAAATTATAATAAGATAAGGCCTCGTTGCCATCCCTAATGAAACAAAAATGAGTGAACTACTTTTAGAATTACTTTTATAAGTTCTCAACCTGCAAAACAAACCGGCACTTTTTACAACAATTCTAAGGACAATTTTTAAGAATACTTCTTGAAATGAAGCTCTTTTTTATTTATACTGCTTAATATTAACTTATATATTTCTATCTTTTAAATTATAATAAGATAAGAGGTATAATTTTTTAAAAGGAATATTTTTAATAAATTAAATAGTTTTAAAAGATAGAATTTACTCATCCTTTGTCACTTGTGTCATAACCAGTCCATATGACTTGGTTTGACAGTCGTACTTCACCAAAATAATTACTCGTCCTTTTACAATTCCTCATAAGTAAGACAATTTACATATAATAGGCACTTTCTTCATTAACATATTACGACCAAGGTCGTGCTGATAACATATATTACACACCAACCTCAACACAAGCAGAAACATAAGACTAATAATACATTTAAAGAACCAAAATTAAAACAGCTAAAATTTAAAAATTATTTGTGGAAATTATCTTTTATTATATTTTATTGTTTTAATACCTAAACTTTAGATGCTTTTAATTTTAGTACTTAATTCCCATATAGTTTGTCAAACATTTAACAGCTAACTAATAAAAAGACTGAAACTAAAAAAAAATTAACCTTGAAGACTAATTATGGAACATTTTAAAAGTCATTTTACGGAATATCATAACATTTAATTGGAAACGACATATATTTTCATAATAAACTACAAAATCTTTAATCTAGATGGTTAAAAACATCTAATTATAAACAAACGAGGTGCAACTAGCACTTTTGTTTCATTCAAAATTGAACTTGTATGAAAATGTGCTAGATTCTTTTTGGCCATTATTCGGTCCCCAAGAGTCCTATTTCCTCGATTTGGCTCTGTATTACTAAGTATACAATTGCACTCCCTAGAAGTAATATTAATATAGTTTAGCTATACTTTGAATATTCCCAAACTGCCCTTCTTAATTTGGTCTAAGCCTGTAAGATAGTGCCACGTAAGCCAGGCAAAGTTGGGCATCTCTCCACAAAGGTTACAACATTACCGAGAAGGTAATTACCCAAGAAAATTGTTTCATTTTTCATTGGGAATATGATAGTACCGAAAGTGAAGCTTACACAACTTTTTGTTTAAGCCAAATGGCACTCAAAGCTAGCCTCAAGAGCCGGTACAAAACCCACCTGAGCGTGGCATTGGGGCTTGAGGAACAGCTTACTTGCATAGTATTAAAGGATTAATCTCATTTTTAACCCTCAAACTATAAGACAAATTTTAATTTAGTCCCTGACTTGTAAAGTGTTTTAGAATGAGTCCCGGTTTATAAAATTATTTCAAATTAGTCTTTTCATTTATCAGACGGTTAAAACCTCGACCAAAAAAAAAAGACATAGAAGGACCATGTGTAGTTTAGAAGAGGTTAATTTTATACATGTTAGAGCACAATTGTGAATAAGAAAGTCATATTTTTTTTTTCTTTTTAGATTTTAACAGTCGTATAAGTAGAAGAATTAGGTTCAAATAGCTTAATAATTCAGGGACTCATTTTGAGATGTTTTAAAAGTTATGGATTAAAATGAAAATTTTGCTATATTATGGAGACTAAAATGGAATTAGTCCTAATACAAACTTCTTCAAGCTATAAAAAAAAATCCATTTCAAATGGATGCTAGATCTGACATTCCGTAACTCTCAAACTACATGCAAATAAAATTATGTTTACTTTGTTCAACGTAATGGATTGTTATACCATATCTCGAAGGCCATGCAAATTTCCCAATATTATTATTATTATTATTATTATTATTTATTTTATGGCCTACTAAAAGCCGTTGAAGTGAATATAGAAATGCTCACACACATCGGCCACGCTCACCAAGTGCACAACATCCTATATATTATATCGTACGAATTGTAGCCCATTCCACAGACCAATTGTCTCTACTTTTTTCAACTTCAATGCCCTCCTCAATACCCCCATTACACCCCTGATCTTGCCACGTCACCTTCAGGGTATGTCTGATTGTGGGTCCCTCATGACATGGCAGAATGTAAACTTAAGTCTTTGCTTGACATGTGTGTGAGTTACAGTACTCTATTAGTTCTCTCAATTCTCATTATATTCATTCAACTCCAGTAATTATTAATTTTCTGCTTATAAAATAAAATTGGTAGCCACTAAGCCGAGTCCCACATTAACGAGAATGAGGTGCAATTATAACATTTAAGTGTCTATAAATTCTCTTCTTTCAGTAATTGTTTAGATAGAGTCACTTAGTAAGATCCACTCATGAATTACAGTATTATATGCCCATAACTTTTATTTTTTTTAACTTCTCTGCGCATTTATATATATATATATATATATATATATACACACATATATAACCTCCAGTTAAGTAGCATATAAGCAATTGACATAAGAAGAAAAGATGATGATGTTATAATACACATTGTTATATTATATGAGAAGCCCATATACTGCAATTCACATCTCTTCTTCCTCTCAGTTTCCAGATAATAATTTCTGCAGTAGCCAACCTCTTTTCACTGCCAATGTTCCCTCTTCTCCTGACTTTCTTTATTCTCCTTACTCTGGTTACTCACTTTCCCATCTCTCATTCTCTCCATGACCAACAACTCCTAGTGCAACCCCTAGTGGCTCCAAATCAGTGCAATGACACATGTGGTGAGCTCAAAATCCCATTCCCATTTCACCTGAACAGGAACTCCTCTTGTGGCACAATTTCCAATGCTTTTCTCCTCTCTTGCTTGAACTCCACAACCCTTTATCTCAACATAGGTTCTGAGAAGTACAGAGTGCTTGAATTCTACTCTGATGGCGTGCTTGTTGACTTTCCCGGCTCATCTCCATGCCGTCAGTACAATGACTTGAATTCCTTTGGTTTTGAAGGGAATGACTATTTTGGAGTTTCTGATGACAATGTGATTGGCCTGTATGACTGTGAGGATTCTTCCTTGTGCAAGGCGGAGTGCGAGGCGGTTGACTTGCCGGGTTGCGATGGCAGCGGAAGAAGTAGCTCTCCTGCTTGCTGTTACCCCTTGTCTGACCACAGTGTGTGGCGTTTTGGGGACAGGTTTTCTGTGTTCTCCAAGTTTGGCTGCAGGGGGTTCTCCAGTTGGGTTGTTCTAAGGGCTACAAACTCCGGTAAGCGCGGGGTTAAGCTCGAATGGGCTGTTCCGAGGAACTCGTCTAAGAGCATTTGTGCTAGCAATGCTTACATTGCCAATGCCACAGCAGTCCGAGAAGGGCTGAGGTGCTTGTGTCAAGAGGGGTTTGTTGGTGATGGATTTGAAAATGGCAGTGGATGCATAAAATGTAAGTAGTTTTATAATCCTTTTATTTATTTTTTTTCCTAATCAAGATTTTCCCACTTTTTTGTTTGCCGAGATCAACATTACATAATCATGATTCTGATTGCATTACTTGAATTGCCATCATGTCCTCACATGTGTTGAGTGGTTATGAACAGGGCAGAGCCACATACAGCTTAGGGTAGGCAGCCGTTACATCTGAATTTTTTTTTTCTATTAATTTTATATATGAAATCCAATGAAATTTATAGTTCGCCTCCTTAAAATTTTGAAATTCTATGTTTGTACCATCTCATAGCAGTCCAGCTCATTTTTCCAATAATTTTAGTGTACGCCCTTGTCCCCTAACTTAATTTTCTAGCTCAAGCTCTGCCCCTAGTTATGAATATGCTGTATTTAATTCTAAAACTATGATTTCTGCCATAAAATTGGGCTGCAAAGTACTTGCATAAGATTTTCTAGTCTATAAGTAGAATTTGCTCCTTAACAAAAATAGTAATCTTGTTCTCCTCAACCATTTGGTAATATGATATTGTGGAAACGTCACCATAAAAACTTGTATTTCTTTAAAAATTTACATCTGTGTTTTCACCATTCTTTATATTCTTGGAAATGCTAAAAATACCACAATGTTATATATAAATTTCTTTTAACATTATGTCTCTGACAGCATGCTTCAAGGACAGGAGAGAACTATACGGAAATGACTGCAACAACAAAATACATAATGACAAGAAACTTGTAATCATAGGTGGTAAGTATAATTAAAAACAAACACATAACTACATTATATCATAGTAAACATTTCCCTCTTTGTCTGAGAATAAATCTCTCATGGCATCCTTAACCTACAGGAGTTCTTTCTTCTGCTTTCATCATTGCCTCTTTCATTGCACTCTTTTGCCTACTGAAACGGCCAATTAAGCCCGGCGAATTCGACGCTGAGCAGGCTAATTTTCACGGTGGCATCTCGTTCCAGAAAGCTTGTAGGACTCGGCTGTTCACATACCATGAGCTAGAAGAGGCCACAAAAGGATTTGAAGATGACAGAAAATTAGTAGAAGGCGCCAACTGCACAATGTATGCCGGGGTTCTTCAAGACGGATCCCACATTGCTGTGCACAAGATACAATGTGAAAATGAAAGAGACTTGATTCAAGTCCTTTCCCAAATTGAGATTTTATCTTCTGTTTTACACGGGAATTTAGCCCGACTTCTCGGATGCTGCATTGATTTGGCCTACATGCCACTAGTAGTCTACGAATATCCCGAAAATGGTACGTTGGAAGAACATTTACACCAAAGAAGAGAGCCAAAAACAGGTCTTGACTGGCACAGAAGGTTGAACATTGTTGCTGAAACAGCAAACGTTCTAGCCTTCCTGCACTATGAGATCTCTCCTCCCGTATTCCACCGAGATCTCAAATCCGGTTCAATCTTTTTAGACGAGAACTTCTCGGTCAAGATTGCGGGGTTTGGACTACTAATCCCGAGTCCCCGAGATTCGCAGAAGAGCCACGAGAGTAGCACTACTCGGTTTCAGAAGAATGATGTTTGTGACATGGGAATGGTGCTGCTTGAGATAATTGCAGGCTCAAACAGATTGGACTTGCCAACACTAGCCTTACAGAAAATAAGGAGTGGGAAGCTAGAGGAGATAGTGGATCCACTCTTGTACCATCACGAGCAGCCGAGTTTTCGGCGCGATCAGATAGAGATAGTTGCTGACCTTGCCGTGAGATGCTTGTTGTTTGGTGGGGATGGCAAGCTTGGAATGGTTGATGTTGCCAGAGAATTGGCACAGATTACAAAAGACAATGTTGATGGTGGTAGTAAGAGAGGGCCTGCTTTGGAGGAAACATTCTCAAACTCAAGCCTTCTTCAGATGATTTCAATGTCTCCTGATTCAATATATTTGCCTTGAAATGTGTCTTTTTTCTTTTTTTTGGGTGACAAATTCCGTTTCACTTTATGGCCTAATTAAAAAATTGCCACTGAGTTTACCTGTGTTTTAGAGGTTGCATTACTTAAAAAAATGACTCATTGGTTATGTGTAATGTATATTGACCAATTGAAAACAAATTGATGTCGTTTCCTTAAGGACTAAAAACTGCTGTACTTGTTACTTTTTCTCAAAAGGGAAATGGTTCAGCCTATGATTTAAAAATTTTTGTGTGGCCAAGTATATTGCAATTGCTTGGTAGATTCCTCTGTTTATTGTGGAACTTATTCAAGTCTAGTGATGTCCTTTCCTAAGATGGCAAGTTGGACATGCTTAGTAATTGAGTATTGTACAGACCTGAAAAATTACGAGGGTAATCTTAATAAATATTCTTTAAAAGCGCTTGAGTCAAAATTTTTACTTTTTACCTTTGATTCATAACTTTTTGAGTTAAATAATTATAGTAATAAAATGATATTTATTAAAAATAAAAGGTAAAGATCTAGACTCATGCATTCTATAAAGTAAATTCTCTATTTTTTCAAATTATAGAACGCATTCTTTGGGCCTTAAAGATTTTGATTTTTTTAAGAGAGATAAATAATATTTTTTTAAAAAAATATTTATAGTAAATATCATATTTTAAAATATTTACAATAAATATTTATGTTAAATGATTTATTTATGATAAATATTTATGTTAAATGATTTATTTATGATTTAAAATATTTACGATAAATATCATATTTTAAAATATTTACCATAAATATTTATGATAAATCTGCCTTATAAATATTTATGATAAATCATTTTAAAATATTTTATATATCAAAAATATTTTTTTAAAAAAATGATCTATCTTTCATAATTTTATTTTTTTCCTCCTAAAAAGATGAGATATTTTGAGAAAGCAAATGCAGATGGTGGGAACCTGCTGCAATAGCTAACATGTGGCCAAACAATAAAAACAACAAGGAGAATCTGAATAGATCTAAGATATGCAAATAAATCGAATCTTGTCTTTAATCATGAGTTCATATTTCAATTAGACTCTATACGTTGGATTTTCCTTGGTCATCATGTCACACACAAGTTATGGTTCATAACCAGATAAGTTATAGACAAAAACAATAATTTAGCCTATTTATTAACTTATGTAAACTATTGACCTATTAATTTTAATTCATCTCAAATTTTAATTTATTTCCCTCTTTCTCCCATTATTTTATAGTAACTATGTTGGATTATGGATGTTCAACTAGCTACAGGCCAGAGTAGTTTCGGGCTTTTAGCCATAGAGAAATGGGACTGTGGGAGGGACTAAAAAGCAGTAAAGTCCCAATAGCACAACAAAATATTTCATACCGTAGAGTATTCCTATTGGTAATATACCTTTTTAAATGTCAAATTATTATTAAAAGCAAACCATATATTTATAAGACAAGATTACAGTACAACGTATACAAAGCAGCCTAACTTATGAGCAGTTCATTTTTTTAGCCACTAGACCATAGAAAAATAAAATTGAACCGTTTAAAAGTTTCTGTTGTCAAGTCCAGACTCACAAAAACAATCAACTTTCAATCGTTCAGATTCTTTTTGCAATCAATATCTTGAAATGTTCTACTGTGAGAGCATCCTATTGTTGGAGCTTTTATCTTTAACTACCAATTAAAATCAACTAGTGATCAGCAAAATAATAATAATAATAATAATAATAATAATAAATCTACTAGAGCTTATGAGTGTTACGACGCAACTCAAAAAATTCTCTACTCCCGTATAGGATACTTTTAGAGATATGAACGTTTGATTAATAGATTCAAAACTATTCTCAGTTTACGTATATTTTTTGTAAAAAAAAATACTGTAGTGAACCATGAACTATGGCACGAATCCACCAACCAAACGCACGATTTTTAAGGTTGGATTGACTTTTGTTATGCGTATTAAATTTATTATAAAATATATCACAATGACATTATACATTATTTAAGTTTTGTCTTTCGACTAAAATTATATTTGTATTTTTGTATATTTGATTCAATATTTTAAATATTTTAATATATTTTTTAATTTTTCATGTATATATTTATAATTTTTATAGATTTTACGATTTTTAAATATTTTTAATTGTGATATTTTTTGTAATAATTTTTTTGTCCCGACATATTTCAATTTAAATCTAAAAATTGTAATATTCTTGTAAAGTGTCCATACTTTTACAATCCACAGATATGACCCACTTCCTTGTTGACCCCTCATGAGAGAGTGGTTATAACAGGCGTGTTTGGAATTGATTTCGTTTTTATTTTTCACATTTTTCGAGATAGAAAAAATGAAAACGTTTTCAAAATAGCGTTTGGCGCAATAAAAACAAAAAACGGAAATGAAAATGATTTTTTAGTTTAGTGTAAAATGAGAGAGAAATAAAAAATGACTTTTAGTTGTTTTTCATTTTTTGTTTTCGTTTTCTCCTCTCTCAAGCATAGAGAGGGAGAGAGAGATATTAATGAATTTTTTTATACTGAAAATAATCTCTTAATAAAACTATCAAATGCATTTTTAAAAATAATTTTTTTCTGAGATTAAAAACGTTTTCATTTTCATTTTCATATAAAAAATAAAATAATTTTAAAACGAGTTCCAAATGCGCCTAACATTTTTCTCTTTGCGAGCAATATGCTAGAATGACTATCCAACAAAGTGAAATTAACAAAATGACATTCTTTCATTTTTTATGAAGAATGATACTTAATCATTCTTTATAAAAAATGGTCATTTTACAAATAAAAATTTTTTAAAAATTATTTTACTAATAAAACTTTTCTAACAAAGCCCTCTTTTCGAGCAATATGCTCTCACATTTTTCTCACGTATCTAGTCTCACATGTTGATATTCGCCCTACAATAAGAATTGCCCCATGGTACTTGTCACCCTATCTTGATAGAATCAATATCTCATGGAATCAAATTCTCAAGAGAGAGGGACGGGTCCCACCTAACGAAAATGACCCACAAGCAGATCGTGGACGGCATTAGCAGGGTCAAGCTCAGGATCTCACAAGGTAGGACCCAGATGACGTGGGACCGCTCATACCAATTTCAACGTGCACACACTTCTGCCTCATTCACTTCGCGGATTTGAGTTTTCGATTCGAACTGAAATGTGATATTTTCTGAGAGCTTTTTACTGTAGTAAAAAATTTTAATGTGACATTTTTTAAGAACTTTTTACTGTAAAAACTTAAAATTAAAAACTCGAATCAGTAAAGTGAACGAGACCTTCTTTTCCAAAAACATTTTCAATAGAGAGGCACTTTTAGGCTTTCTAAATCTAATTAAAATCACATTAAACAAAAAGAATAGATAGAATAATCAATCTCTAATATAAGTTGGACCACTGAAAACTAAAAAAATACCGAAAGATCATTTTGTTCTGAGCCTATCCGAAAGTCCCCAATAGAAAATAACGAAGTTTGAGGTTGAGGAGGACAAGTGGTTAGGACAGCTATGTTCTCGCTCCGAAAGAGCCACGAAGGGTGTTGTGTTGTGTGTTTGCCTGAAAATACATTTGACCAATCCCCCGCATCTCTTTCCGCCAAAACAACCTTTTTTTCCTTTTGCCCAATATATATAGTTCCATTTTAGTCCTTTTCTTTAGCGTCCTCATTCTAATATTCTCTCCTTTTCAGTTTCACCCCCCTTTGTCTTTCATCAATCTTAAGGTACGTATGCTTGCTCCGATCTTGTTTCTGTTAAGATTGACAACGCGAAAGTTTTTTCTTTTTTCTTTTTCTTTTTTTTGGTATGATCTTTTAGGTGCAAATCTTGTAGATTAACTTAAAGATGCTTCTTTTTGATGTTTTTGGGACCAGTTACAAAGTCCCAGTTGGATCATATTGGGAATCTGATTGATTGTTAACCCATTTCTTAGAAGACCCTTTTCCGAGATGAACATGTGATATTGAATTTGATTATCGTTCCGTGAAAATTGGAGCTCTAAACGAAGTTATCATCTCCAAATGACTTAAAAAAACTTTTTCCAAGGGTCAAAACAGAAAGAACATAAGAAAATAAAATAAAAAGAAAGATGTTTTGCCCCAGAAGTTTCATAATTAATAAATGAATATCTGCTATTTAGTTTACACTAGAAAGTAATTCCATAACAACCTTTTATGATTCTTTTACCGTGTTAATCAATTGCCGAATGCCATCATTATGTTCTGAAATAATAAACTTTGTTCCTGAGGCCAGTTTTTTTATTTTATTATTATTTTTTTTGTAAGGGCTCCTGATGCCAGTTAATGATTAATTAAAAAAAAAATTTGATGTACATCTTCTGAACATGATCTAGTTTTTTGGTAATCCCAGATCTTGGCATGTTAATCGTTTGCTCTAGAATTGTTGAATCTGATAATTTTAATTAGGCCATGTTTTCTTGAAGTGGGATCTGTCATTTGGTTATCTTTTAAATCTTTCTTTTTCTTCTTAGCACATTTTGAATGCTCTTGTATTTGACATGTTCTGTGGCTTCTAGTTAGAGATGAGTGAAGAAGCCAATCAGGAACAGCATCCGGTGCAGCCACCACCGCGTCAAGTTCCCCGTTTGAATGAGAGGATTCTTTCATCTTTGTCCAGACGATCAGTTGCTGCACATCCTTGGCATGATCTTGAGATTGGTATAACATGTTTTCCATATCCAATGCCCCATGCGTATACTCTCTCTGGCATATTAAGACAAGGAACTAATCATTTTGTAACTTTTTTTTTTCTCTGCAGGACCTTCTGCTCCACAGATTTTTAACTGTGTATGTACTCTCTCCAACCTAAACAAGCGGATTAATATGCGAACTCTAGAGCCAAAACTTCTCGAAAGAGGAACACACAAAACGAGTCTTTGATTTTTAGCAAACTTAAAATATCCTGTGTTTGTTCTGGGGTGGGGGTGTCTATTTGTTTCTCATAATGAATTATGCTGAGAAAACAATGGAACTTATATATGTTTGTGAGCAATATGCAACTAGAAAAAACAAGACAAAAATAAACTGTATTAGTATTCCAGCTCAATGTTTTGTGTACCTCCACCCAAAATTTTCCTCCTTAAAAGCACTCTTGATCCAAATCAAGAACATATTCAGCTGCTAGTATTTTTTCAGTAGTGTTAGGGAACCCAATTTTTTTTTTATACTAACTAACTTAGCAGATGAGTTGTCATTTTTTCATTAGTAGATGTGTCTTTAATTTTAATTGTCGTGACAATTTTTTAAACGCCTACTAATGAAAGAATGACAACTCACATGCCACGGTAGTTGTGTTAAAAAGTTGGGCCCCTTGCATTATTCTATTCAGCATCCAAGTATATTCAAGCAGAAATTTTGATTCCTTAGTAAATTACGAAGTATCTCCTTGTTGAAATATTTATTGCAATGGTACAGGTGGTTGAGATAACCAAGGGAAGTAAGGTCAAATATGAGCTCGACAAGAAAACAGGACTGATAAAGGTATTAAAAAAAATTCAGGTCTTTCCGAATTCTGATATATTCTTGTGTTTTAATGAATATTGTTGCCCACTAACTCGTACAAACATTCCTCTGTATATTTCATATAAGATACATCCTTTTTATATGTATTCACCAAAATGGGATGGTGGCTTGTTGGACTGGAAAGTATTGAAAAAATGCTTCAGCTGAAATGGGGTTTTTAACCTGTACTTAATAGAATCTTGGTCTTTAAGCTCTAATCTTTTAGCTTGGCTTAAATATGTATATCATCTGTTGCAATAAAATCTCAGGTTGATCGAATTTTGTATTCATCGGTGGTCTATCCTCATAATTATGGTTTCATCCCTCGCACATTGTGTGAAGACAACGATCCGATGGATGTTTTGGTCCTCATGCAGGTCAGTTATTAAAATGTTAGAAAATTCTCAAGTATCTGTGATATTTTACCAATTTCTTCACTTCAACCATTGAATCTGCACACAAGTGGGAAAAGAATTAATGTTATTCATCAAGTCTAATTACTGCTTTTAAAGCTCAACGATGAGAATCAAGAAATACTTAAACCCAATTTCATGCTTCGAGTAGGAACCAGTTCTTCCTGGTTGTTTTCTGCGAGCCAAGGCCATAGGACTAATGCCCATGATTGATCAGGTACCCATTAATTTTTTAGGCTCGGACATTGTCTTTCTTTTTCCATCCACTTATTGCAATAACTACATTGTGTTCTTTCTTTTAGGGAGAGAAAGATGATAAGATCATTGCTGTCTGCGCTGATGATCCAGAGTACAAGCACTACAATGACATTAAAGAGCTTGCTCCTCATCGCCTTTCGGAGATCCGCCGCTTCTTTGAAGACTGTATCCTTCTCAACTTCACTTACAAAACTCCAAATCCCACTTTACATTCATAAAGATCATTTCTCATTTATTTACATTCTAAAGCATTGTGGCTGCTCAACTTGTTGCACAGATAAGAAAAACGAAAACAAAGAGGTTGCAGTTAATGACTTTTTGCCCTCTTCCACTGCCACTGAAGCCATCCAGTATTCGATGTAAGTCGATCATAAGCAAAGGAAAAATCTGCAATCAACAAAAAAAATTGAACCAAATAGTATGAGAATCTACTTTGATTATTTTGTGTTAATTTGTTGCAGGGACCTTTACGCTGAATACGTTATGCATACTCTGAGGCGGTAGACGCAGACCGATTTGTGTCTATTTGAATAAGTCGTTTAATCAGCGATGTAGAAGATGTTATGATGAAAAACTTTCTTTTGAGTTCTGATTTCATTTTTGCAACTGGGGTAGTGGGGAATCCCTTGTTTGGTTGGTTTAACAAGCAAAGAAGAGAGAATTGCCAGTGAATGTTTCTTTATTTATATGCCTATAGATAAAGATTGGAAATTTGCTTAAAAGATTGGAAATTTGCTTTAAGCAGTTCACAATCCTTTATTCAACTGATATTTATTCGAAATTATATATTGATCCCAACATTCTTGTTTCAATTCATCTAGTTCTTTTTTGATACCTTCATTTCTCTGTTTGCCCCGCTATCTTTGATACCTTCATTATTTATCCTGATGAACTGCGCTTATTTATTTCTCAGAACAAGTATGAGAGCTTGGGTTTCTTTTTCATAAGATTATATATCTTGGGATACACAAAAAAGGATCGTCAGGAGGTTAAGAACTATGAAAAAGAATCATGGGCTCTCAAAATAGGAGAACTGGGTATTGCAGATAAGGGGGAAAAGTCAGGATACAAATAATATCGTTATGGGGTTCAATGGAGACCGTCGTATAAACATAGTAACGGTTAGAATTTAAGAGTTAAACAAGTTGCACTTGTTCAAACAGGAACTTTGATACAATATATTGCAATACAATAGATCACGTGTCTTGTTATTCTAACTTATAGGAGCTTTTTATTATTTTTCCGTTTTAAGGATGGCCATTTTGGTTTAATTCTATCGTCAAAATAGCAATGGTGAGACATCCAAGTGTAAAAAGTATGGATGTGAACACCAGAACTCGTTTCATCACGAGTACAACTTATTCAAAAGGTCCAAGAGAAGCACTGCGGCAGAGTCCTTGGCCTTCTTGACGCTTGGCATGGGTTCTCCCACACATTCATCAGTCCATCCCCTGTCCGTTGTATTCACTCGCACGGCAAAAGTAAACCTTTTCGCATGTGCCGGGCCACCCTCATTCACACACCTAAAGATGAAACGTTACAAACTTTTGAGTACGAACTAGTCATGAACAATATCAGCCAGAATATGAGATTCGTTGAACAGCTTTCTTACCGGTAGAATGGCATGGGCCAATTTCTACGCAAGCATATATCATTTAATGTTTGCCGCGTAAATGTTTGGGGACCATTCTTCTTCTTCCCATTCTCATCGTCTTTTTCCTTTGCTTCGGCTGTTTCCTTCTCTTTTAAAGCGGCAAGTGCATTCCTGGCTGCTAGTTTCTGTGCCATCTTCTTTTGTGGATTCTGAGCGATGCCCATTTGGACACCGTCAATGAAGACTTCGACAGTAGCTACATTGCCATTTCGGGAGGCTTTGTATTCCAAACCTTCTGCTTGTTGCTGGCATCTTTCTTGTAACTCACGCACAGGGTGCATTGGAAGCGTCTCTGGAGTAACCATTGGTTGTAATAAAGGTTCAAACACCTAGGAAAATGGAGGTTGTGACATCAGAAATTCTGTCTATTAGTTCTCCTATCATGAACCAAAGAAAATTTTGGGGTTTAAGGGGAAAAGTGGGACTTCGAGAAAACTGACCTTCCATACAACTGCACTATCACGTCCACTATCAAGGAAAATAGCACCAGCGATAGACTCAACAATATCACCAAGAACTTTTGGAGCTTTGCAATCTCCCAAGCCAAAGGAGTTGAAACCTGGCTTCGACAATTCAGATTGAACTTCCTTGACGAAATCCCGAATCTGTGAACAGACCAAAAATTAGTCGGTTTACAAATTTAACACAAGGACGATAGGCCACCACTAGCTCCCTTCCCAGTATAAATATTTAATAAGGGAGAAAATAGAAGACCTGCTTTTCAAGGGCACTTGAACCGTGGCGAAGGTGCACGTGAAGATTATGTCTTACGGCTACGCGAGCAAAGTTTTCATTATTTACAGCAGCAGCTCGCAGGTCAGTCAATCGGCCTGGGGGCAGATTCGTGTATGAGAAGAACAAATGCTTGGTGATGAGATGATCTAAGACTGCGTCACCAACAAATTCCAAGCGCTGATAGCAGGATACTCCAGAAGATGGCCGGGAAGCATGAGTAATGGCTTCTACCAATAGAACCCGGTCTTCAAATCTAATGTTCAAAGCCCCCTCTAAGGCACCAAAGTCGACACTCCTAAGTACACTATCTGGAACGTTGGATGGTCTTCTTGTGCACTCTATCTCATCAGGATCGAACTCTACCTCAATCCCAATCCATTTCATTAGATGGTTAGCAGCTTTCTTCCCACCTTCTACATAATAGACTCCAATAAGTGCTTCTACAACGTCTGCAAGAGTCTTGCTAGACAGAACTCTGTAAGAACTAGAATCGCTCTCAAGCTCACCATCTTCCATTTCATCATCTTCATATCCATCACAAGGTTGATCGTTTTCCCGTAGATTCTCAGTAACTGATCTCCCCTGATCAAATAAAGATGAATCTCCATCTTTGGTATCCTCATCAAATACGGGCAACACACCAGGTGCAGCCCATCGGGATGGGGCGAAGCTATCTGCTTGGATATAGGATTGAAGTCCCTTTCCGAGAGCATACTGATATAAAACCATGTTACTCACCTTTTGTTGCCTCATCCTAGTAAGCTGACCCTCATGTTTTTGGGGATATTTGAGAAAAAGAAATCTACTAACAACCCATTTCAAGTAAGCATCACCAAGAAGCTCCGCCCTTTCATAACAAAATGTCTCTTGGCATGAAGAAGCTGTCAAGGCTTCCAAGATCTGTAGATGGCATTAATCAGTCAAGTGGATAGTTGATAAGAAATTAAAATTAACCTTTAAGTCAATAAAGCACCTTTGAAGCAGGAACGGGATGGTTTATAATATGCTTAAGCTGAATAGCAAGAAGCATGCTTTCAACTCTCCTCATTATCGAGGGTAATCTCTGAGCTCCACGAACCAGTGAACCAGGCAGTGGGTGCACTAAACACAGTTCAGGAGGGAGAAAAACAAAGTATGTTTTGTCTACACTCTCGTCAGAGCCACCTAGACGAAGAAAATCCTCCATTTGCTTAATACATAACAAGAAGTAACAAACTAAGTAGAAAGGCAGAAACAGCAAAATCATACCTTCTCCATGTTCAAATCGAGGACAAAGAAGGTTCTTACAATAGGAGACTCCTCGTCCTCTTATAAGAGGTTGTTGCTTATACGTCAACTCAACTCCATACCTATATAGAAAAGGACCAAATACCCAAACGCACCCTTTTTGCTGTGCAAGAAGAAAGAAAGAGCCTACCAAATCTGCAAGGATCACAAGTATTGCCACCAGAAAATGCATGGAACAGCTGACAGCATACAGTATGTACATGCATTTTCACTTGACAATAGCAGAGATTTAAAATATTTCCTTGACAGACTAAGATTAGCATTTTCTTTTCTTCAGGCACAACATCTAGGTGCATTGTGGCTACCAGCCCCATAGATTAGAACTACAATCTAGGCTTGGAAAAGCGGGGATATACAATTTTTTTCAGCCAAATTTCTTAAAGGAACTAGACACCAAATAATTTGAGGATGTTTACATACTTTTGTTTGTAATAATCAGCATATGAGCTGTACTCCAGTGGGCCAAGATAGCCTTCTTTCCTAGGGACAGAGTTCTCTGCAGTCATACCATAGCTTA